ATGTTTATTGTGGCACTATTCACAATAGCAAAGACTTGGAACCAACCCAAATGTCCGTCAATGATAGACTGGATTAAGAAAATGTGGCACATATACACCATGGAATACTATGCAGCCACATAAAAGGATGAGTTCGTTTCCTTTGTAGGGACATGGATGCAGCTGGAAACCATCATTCTCAGCAAACTATCGCAAGGACAAAAAACCAAACACCACATGTTCTCACTTATAGGTGGGAACTGAACAATGAGAACACTTGGACACAGGAAGGGGAACATCACACACTGGGGCCTGTCGTGGGGTGGGAGGAAAGGGGAGGGATAGCATTAGGAGATATACCTAATGTAAATGACAAGTTAATAGGTGCAGCACACCAACAGGGCACATGTATACATAGGTAACAAACCTGCATGTTGAGCACATGTACCCTATAACTTAAAGTATAATAATAATTTTTTAAAATACCCATTAAAAAAAGGGAACAGACTCTATCCACTTAAACAAAAGAAGAAAAGAAAGAAGGAGCAGGAAAGAGACAGAAGAAGGGAAGGAAGAAGCATAACAAAGAAGAAAGAAAAACCACCATCAGGCCCAGACAAGATTTATATTTGAGTTCAATCAAACATGAAAGACAATTCCATCTTAAGTATACTATCACAGAGAATAGACCAAGAAGGGACAGAGAAATTGACACATTTTGTGAATTTAGTTTGACGACGATACCAAGGGTAATCTCAACAATATAGATAGAAAAATCTTAAACTTTACTTCCATGATTATAGAAGTAAAAGAGTAACATCAGTGCATATGGTGGAGTAGGTAGTTCCAAGGGCCTATCCTTCTCCACAGCAATAGGGGGGAAAAAATGAGTAAAAACCGTCAGAATGAACTTCATATAAACTATAGAAAATAGGCAAAGATATGCAGCAATCAGATAAATGCTGAATCAAGAAAACAGCAACTAAAAATGGCAGGAAAGTTGTGCAGCATTTTTACTTTCCCTTAACCACCCACTACCCCCACATCCTGCCTAGCAACCCCTGCTTCACTCCCCCTAGTTAACCCTAGTTAAGCAAAGTCTTGAAGATGGCACTTGGTATTCCCAGTGTGAAACTCTGGTCCCTGGCTCTGGAGTGAACAGAGCTGACCTTAATCTCAAAAAACCGTTTTTCTCTCTTTTGACCTGACTGGGGACTGACTGAAGAAATGATGCAAAGAGCACACCTATGTTCCACTTAATTCAGGACTTTCTCGGGGCAGAAAAGCAGCTACACAGAAGACATTCATTGAAAACATTGCAAATGAACAACCTGGGGCAGAGGCCTAAAGTTGAGGCAAACAATAAACACACTGAAAACACACTGAAAACCAAAAAAGACACGAGAGAGGAGAGTTTCTTTGGGAAATGACGGCACTGAAAAGCATCACTATGTATTGGAGAGTAGAAAAGCCACATGCATGCCCAAGGAATGGCACTGAGAAGAAAAGACCCTAAGCTTTCACCTCAAGCTGTTCTTTAGAGTCAGCACAAGCAGGAAGGGAAGGCTAAGGCAGAGTTGTAAATGGACTAGGTAAACACTGAATGAGTGCCCCAACATAGAGCCAATCTGCAAAGACTGAAAGAGTTGTTCTTTTCTATTATTTTCTTTTGGCTCTAGGAATTCAATAAAATCTGTCAAAAAAAAATCTTACAAGCTAAAAATCAGTCTTACAAGCTAAAAATCTTACAAACTAAAATCTCACAAGCTAAAATCTGACTAGCTAAAAAAAATCTTACAAGCTGAAAAATCTTACAAGCTAAAAAAATCTTACAAGCTAAAATCTTACTACAAGCTAAAGGATCAGAGATTTCAGAGACTACACACAACAAAAAATACAGACTTTACAATATAGTCAAGATCACTGACTACAGGTCTCTCATATCCACTTCCCCCACTAAAAACTAAAACCATGAGTATATAATCACACTTTGAGTGGATTATCCAAGAGGAACACTGGTATTCAATAGAAAAGCAAGGAAGGAGACAGAACAAGACAGCCTGCTCTGCCGGGAGTGGCAAGAAGCTGGAAGAGACTCCACATACGGAAAGGGTGAGAGATGCCCAATGGTCCACATTCCTACTGTGAATCCCTGCAATTTTAGTCACAGGAAAGACCCTAGACCCTTGCAGGACAAAAAATTAACATAGAGGGCTGCCCAGAGACAGCACAAAAGCATTTCCTATTCCAGTGAGGAAGTTCACTCTGGGTCCCACACTCCCCCTGAGTCCTAAGCAGCTACAGCAAGGTGATATTTTGGAAGCCCAGCTCACAACAGAATGCGTACTCCCCTGGGGCCCAACGGCACCATAAAAAAGAATGTAATCATGTCATTCACAGCAACACGGATGGAACTGAAAGTCATTATGTCAAGGGAAATAAGCCAGGAACTGAAAGACAAATATCACAAGTTCTCATTCATGTGTGAGGGGAGCTTAAAAAGTTGATCACATGAAGGTAGAGTGGATTGGTAGCAGGGACTGGCAAGGTTATATAGGTGGGAAGGGGGAAATGAAGAGACGTTGGTTAATGGGCACAAAAATACAGACAGAAGGAACAAGTTCAAATGTTTGACAGAAGAGTAGGGTGACTATAGTTAACAACAATGTATTGTATTTTTCAAAATAGCTACAAGGAACTTGAAATGTACCTAGCTTCCTCCAACTTACAGTTAACGGCTATTCTGACCTGTACTGATCTTAAATTAAACAGAATAAATTGATGTCATCATACATTCTTATAAATACTATATTAGACATTTAATTTACCTCTACAAATAAAATCATATTACAATTCTTCAAAACAAAGCTTATGCGTCAACTAGTCTTTCTATTAAAAGAACATTTAAAAATGAGATACCATGATAATAGGCTCTATAGTAACCTCAGTGGTCTAGTAAAATGTGTTAGCTCTACAGAAAGAGTTCTCTGGTTCATAGTTTTGGTCCACAGATAATACAATCAGGTCTCAAGAGTAAAAATGATTTCAAGATACACCAAAGATGTGAGAAATATATATATATGAGGAAAGACTGGCAAAGGTCTTCAGAAGCTAACTAGAAGAAAATGATGGTTTGTCAACCATTTAATCAAGATTTTAAATCAAATACATATTTCAAAACATTAATTCTTTGCTTTCATGTTGCTCTCAGGATCTAGCTTTAACATTAAGTTATGTCATGAGATAGCCCATGACAGGATGTAATTATATATGTAATTATAAAGAATACTCAGCAAACATTTATGGCCATCAAGTTTGTTTTGACACCTAGCCCAAAGCAGATTCACCATAAGTTGTACTCCAGTAACACTTTCATTGTCTATGCATGTGAAAACACACATACCAGACATACAAGCATTAATATATATATATATAATGCATGTACCTAGTATTAGCATAGCATAATTAAAACAATAATACATGGATTAAAAAGGAAAAGGCTGTTTTTTAATACTTACCACAAGCTTTAGAAGCAGCAATACAGATTTCTTCTGCAACATACTCCCCAGATGGAAAGGTCAGATAATCTGCCTCAGATTTCCCAAGGGAATGGTAAAGATACACCTGAAGGACTGGATCTATTTGCTTCATAGAATTGGCATTTCCAGAAATATCACCATTCTGATATATAGAAGATGTGGATGTTCCCTCCATTTCTGTCATAGTAAGGCAGGCCATTCCCATGCAGAGTCTTTTTCAGAATATTTGCCTGTAAGAGAAAACAATAAAGTTACAAATGGGCTGGGCGCAGTGTCTTACACCTGTAATCCTAGCACTTTGCGGGGCCGAGGTGGGCAGATAGCTTGAGCCCATATGTTGGAGACAAGCCTCAGCAGCATGGTGAAACCTCGTCTCTACAAAAAAAAAACAAAAAAAAAAAAAAAAAATTAGCTGGGCATGGCAGCACACACTTGTACTCCTAGCTACTCTCCGAGCGGAGCAGAAGAATCACTTGAGCCTGGGAGGTTGAGGCTGCAGTGAGCCTCCACACTCCATCACACTCCAGTCTGGGTGACACAGCGAGACTCTGTCTCAAAAATGAATGAACGAATGAATGAATGAATGAATAAATAAATAAAGTTACAAATGTAAATAATATTGATACGGCATCCTTCATATACAAAGAAGGACTGCTCCTTGACAGCAATGGCTGTCAAATCCATTAGCTGGATAAATAGCGTGTACTACTACATACAAAGCACAATGCAAGAAATCACACATTTTAAACTTCCTGTGGACAAAGATTATAAAATTCCAGTTAACAACCTAATTGAGGAAGATGATATAAATTCCTAACATGAACAAACAAGCATTAAACTTAGTTACAGACAACAGAAGAAGAGATCTCAAATTGAGGGAACAGGGGCCCAGAAGGCTGACTAGAAGTATCTGGTACTAGCCTCCTCCACAAAGAAGAACCGAAGTAGCGAGCAGATAATCACACTTCGAATAGGTTGTCTAAGAGAGAACACTGAAATTCAACAGAGAAGTGATAGAAAACACCTAAAGCAAGGAAGGAGAGGGAAGTGGGACAGCCTGCTCGGCCAGGATCAGCCGGAAGCCTAGAGAGCCTGCACAGTGTGGGGAAAGAGTAAGTGAGAGACTCCCAGTGGCACACATTTTCACCACAAATTCCTGCAATCCCAGACACAAGAGAGCCCTTCAACTTTCATGGGCCCTGGGAGTAACATAGGAGCTGCCTGGAGACTGCACAATGACAATGCCTTAGAGAGGGAGCTTACGCTGATCCAACATACCCCCGATTCCTAAGCAGCTACAGCACAGTGACATTTTTAAAGCCCAACCCCCACCAGAATGCATCCTACCCTGGAGTTCAATAGCCCCCACATATCCACACCCCTAGAGCCCCACTGACATCCTCCACCCACAGTTACCTCCACTGCTGGCTGCTGCCTATGGGACCAAAGCACAAGCCATTGGCAGTAACCCCACTGCTCCCAGCAGAAGGGCTGCCATACATTTGTATGTGCCCTGAGGACAAGCTCTACCACCTACAGCTGCCACCATTGCAGGCTGCTGCCACTAGTGTCAAAATACATGCACCCTGAGTATAGCTTCATCACATCTGCAGACTCCACCTGCAGCTGCAGTGCACACTCCCCAGCCAGCTCCCTATAGCTGCTCCCACTGAGAGCAACCCCACCCCTCCCCAGCATCAGGGCACAGCACAGCCACTGCCGCCCCCACCTGTACATTCTACCAGGAAATTGGAAATCATCCTGCTCCTGCCCACCATAAACAGCACCTGCTCCCACTACTGGAGGACCTGAGGATACTCTCATCCTGCTCAGTTCAGCACCACACTGCCAAGTACCCAAGCATGTTATCTGGGGGCCTTGGGATCGCACCAGTTTGTCCACATCCAGTGTCAACTGAGCATTCCACCTGGGGGTCTGAGGATGTGACCCACCCAACCTGCCACTACCACTACAGCTGGTTCCCACTCACACTTGCCACCTGCAGGTTTTGGGACTTGCCTACCCAGCCTATTGCTGTCACCGCCAACATAAGCACAGACAATTGGAGAGCCAGAGGTTGTCCTACCATTGCTACTGACATGGCCTATGCCATGCTCACTGCCCAGGGGCCTGTGGACCCACTCAGCTGCCCAGCCCATCACTGCCACTGCTGGTACCCAAACAAGTTACCTGGAGACCCAAAAATTGGACTGCCTGGACCCACTAATACCATTACTAATGTAAGCCACCCTGGGGCTAATGTACAGGCATGGCTGTCCAACTGCTGCCACCACTGAGGACTGAGGATCGGTCCAGCTGGTGTCACCATCCCCAGCAAAAGTTCACCACAGCCTTCACAACCACACACTATGCCACTGAGGAAATCACAGACACCACTGATGCTGTTTACAGAGGAAAAAAAATCTTACAGAGACTACATTACTGCATGCACTCAGATTCAAACCCAAAGTGCCCTGGCCAACCAACACCCCAAACAAATCTTCAGGAAAAAGTCCTACCCTATGAAAGCAAATACAAAAAAATGGAAGTGACTATTACACCAGATGTGTAAGGTCACAAGAAACATGGAAACAAGAGGAAATATGACATCTCCAAAGGATCACAATAATTTTCTACCAAAAGATTCCAATCCAAAAGAAATTCATGAGATGCCAGAAAAAGAATTTAAAAAATGATATTAAAGCAGCTCAGGGAGATACAAAAGCATACAGATAAACAATAAGAAGAAACCAGAAAAAAAACTCAGGATATGAATGAGAAATTACCAGAGAGAGATATCATTTAAAAAGAAAACAAGAAACCCTGAAACTGAAGAATTCATTTAATGAAATAAAAAATACATTCTAGAGCATCTATAATAGGCTAAATTGAGCAGAAGAAAATTTCTGAACTTGAAGACAGGTCTTCTGAAATAACACAGACAAAACTAAAAAAAAAAAGAATGAACAAAGCCTGCATGACATACGGGATACCATAAAGCAACCTAATATTAGAATTTTCAGTATTCTGGAAGACAATGAAAATACAAAAGGAATAGAAAACCTGGTAAATGAAATAATAGCTGAAAACTACCCAAGTATAGCAAGAGATTTAGACATCCAGATACAGAAGGTCAGAGAGCCCCAAAAAGAAAATTCCAACAGGTTCTCTACAACACATTAGAGTCAAACTGTCAACAGTCTAAGACAAAGAGAGAATTCTAAAAACAGCAAGAAAAAAGTGTCTAGTCACTTCTAAGGCAAGCTCCATCAGACTAACAGCAGATTTCTCAGCAGAATCATTACAGGCCAGGAGAGAATGAAACAACAAACCTGACAAAAACAAGAAATGGGGAAAGGATTCCCTATTTAATAAATGGTGCAGGGAAAATTGGCTAGCCATAAGCAGAAAGCTGAAACTGGATCCTTTCCTTACTCCTTATATGAAAATTAATTCAAGACGGATTAGAGACTTAAATGTTAGACCTAAAACCATAAAAACCCTAGAAGAAAACCTAGGCAATATCATTCAGGACATAGGCATGGGCAAGGACTTCATGTCTAAAACACCAAAAGCAATGGCAACAAAAGCCAAAATTGACAAATGGGATCTAATTAAACTAAAGAGCTTCTGCACAGCAAAAGAAACTACCATCAGAGTGAACAGGCAACCTACAGAATGGGAGAACATTTTTGCAATATACTCATCTGACAAAGGGCTAATATCCAGAACCTACAAAGAACTCAAACAAATTTACAAGAAAAAAAAAAAAAAAACAACCCCATCAAAAAGTGGGCAAAGGATATGAACAGACACTTCTCAAAAGAAGACATTTATGCAGCCAACAGACACATGAAAAAATGCTCATCATCACTCGCCATCAGAGAAATGCAAATCAAAACCACAATGAGATACCATCTCACACCAGTTAGAATGGCAATCATTAAAAAGTCAGGAAACAACAGGTGCTGGAGAGGATGTGGAGAAACAGGAACACTTTTACACTATTGGTGGGACTGTAAACTAGTTCAACAATTGTGGAAGACAGTGTGGTGATTCCTCAAGGATCTAGAACTAGAAATACCATTTGACCCAGCCATCCCATTACTGGGTATATACCCAAAGGATTATAAATCATGCTGCTATAAAGACACATGCACACATATGTTTATTGTGGCACTATTCACAATAGCAAAGATTTGGAATCAACCCAAATGTCCATCAGTGACAGACTGGATTAAGAAAATGTGGCACATATACACCATGGAATAGTATGCAGTCATAAAACAGGATGAGTTCATGTCCTTTGTAGGGACATGGATGCAGCTGGAAACCATCATTCTCAGCAAACTATCGCAAGGACAAAAAACCAAACACCACATGTTCTCACTCCTAGGTGGGAACTGAACAAAGAAATCACCTGGACACAGGAAGGGGAACATCACACACCAGGTCCTATTGTGGAGAGGGGGTAGCAGGGAGGGATAGAATTAGGAGATATACCTAATGTAAATGACGAGTTAATGGGTGCAGCACACCAACATGGCACATGTATACATATGTAACAAACCTGCATGTTGTGCACATGTACCCTAGAACTTAAAGTATAATAAAATAAAGAAATCAAAAAAAAAAAGTGCTGAAAGAAAAAAACCCTGCAAGTCAAGGATACTATACCCAGCAAAATTATCCTTCATTAAGCAAAGGAGAAAGTTTTTCTGAAGCAAGCAAAAGCTGAGGGAATTCAACACTACTAGATCAGACCTACAAGAAATGCTTGAGGGAGTTCTACATTTGGAAGTCAAAGAACAATGTCAGGGCCAGGCACAGTGGCTCCGGCCTATAATCCTAGCACTTTGGAAGGCTGAGTCAGGCAGACTGCTTGAGCCCAGGAGTTCAAGACTAGCCTGGACAACATGGTAAAACCACATCTCTACAAAAAAAAAACAAAAGAATTAGCCAGGCATGGTGGCAGGCTTCTGTAGTCCCAGCTACCTGAGAGGCTGAGGCAGGAGGATCACGTGAGACCATGGAGGTCAAGGCTGCAATGAACCATGATCACACCACTGCACCCCAGCCTGGAGGACAGAACGAGAGCAAAACCCTGTCTCAAAAAAGAAACAAACAAACAAACAAAAAAGGACAATTACTACCATTATGAAAAACAGATGACGAAAGTATCAAACCCACTGGTAAAGCAAACACACACAGACAAGAAAGGATTCAAATG